ACAAAGTTTATGGTGTCAATTTTCACAGGGCCATCTTTAACCCTTAACCTCCGAAAGATTTTATCCCCTTCATGACCAGGCTATTTTTTGCTATTTAGCACTGCACTACTTTAACTGGTAATTGCACAGTCATGCAATGCAGTACCCAAACTAAATTTATATAATTGTTTTCACTCTTTTCTTTTGTTATTATTTGATCTCCACTGGATTTTTTATGTTTTTTGCAATATGAAGACCGAAAATTAAAAAACAACAAAATTTTTTTACTTTCTGCTACAAAACAAATCCAATAAAAAAAATCGAATTTCTTCATACATTTTGGCCAAAAAATCCCAATAAATGTAAATTGATTGGTTTGCATGAAAGTTATAGCGCCTACAAACTAAGGTATAAACAGTGCTCAGCATAAATGAGTACACTCCTTTTGAAAAGTAAGATTTGAATCAATATCTCAGTGAACTCAAGAACAATTTCCAAAATGTTGACAAAGCTGAGTTTTATAGAACATTTGTTTAGCTTATTACATGAAAGTAAGGTTAATAATATAACTTAGAATATAAAATCTTCAGTTTTATTCAAATTAGTTGATGCAAAAATGAATACACCCCACAACAAAAACTACTACATCTAGTATCTTGTATGACCTCCATGATTTGTAAGGACAGCACAAAGTCTTCTAGGCATGGAATGAACAATTTGGCGATATATTGCAACATCTATCTTTTTCCATTCTTCAAGAACGACCTCTTTTAGAGCCTGGATGCTGGATGGAGAGTGATGCTCAACTTGTCTCTTCAGAATTCCCCACTGCACTGCCTGTGCGGGCTGTCTGTCTGCAGTAGATTGCGAGTGGGCAGTCCACAAGTGGTTAAACAAGGCATTTGTTTTGCAGGGGTCACTGCTTAATAAATTGGTAAAACACAGGTGAGAATGGTGGTTGTGGGGGGAAACATCTTTACTGAATAAGCAGGATTAACCTGACAAAGGTCTCTAGAATGGTCTAGTTTTAATCAATTGATTCCACTGTATAATTGAAAAGGGTTTCTGCATTAAAAAAAAAAGAAGATATGTATACCACTCAAAGTAAGTGACTCATCACAGGCTCCACTATGACATCTTCGGGTTCTGGTTTGGATTGATGTACTCCAGCAAATTAGTCAGAAAAGGAAATTGATGCGTTCTGAGCTGAATTTAACCACTTGCCATCTGGCCCATGTATATAAACAGCTGGGCGGGGAGCAGTGCCGATGCGGGTTGCTGTTTATAAATGGCCCCCACATTCACTGCCTGTGCACGCTCCCTGGGAGCACGCGACACTGCGATCTGGTGCCTGCTCTGTCCGGAGGACACAGCGGAAAACTGATCGCTGTACGGGACCTCTGTGTGAGGTCCCAATTCATGTGATCCCTGATTGGCCAATCAGTGACCACATGAATAGTAGTAAACAAGATGTCACTTCCTGACATCATTGCTTACTACTTGTGAAATCTGTGAATGATCACAGAGGTCACATGGTACAAGGCCATTCACAACAGTACCATGTGACAAGCTTTGACCAATCACATCTCTCACAGTATTTCTCAATGGCTGCAAGAATGCAGCCAGAGAGAAAGGAGAAATGATTGCTTTTACAGCCTTTATGGATGTAAAAGCAATCAGTGTAAAAAAAGAAAAAAAAAATCTTCATTACCCCCCACAAGTAGTACAGTGTCACCATGGTGACACTGTACTGCTAGGGTGATGGTATGTTAAAAAACAAAACAAAACATTAATAATAATATAAAAAAATAAAAATGTAAACAATTTTTTTTAAAAAATTAACATTTTTGGTTATAAACTAATTTGGGTTATTATTTTTTTTACTAAAAAGATAGCTAAATACATGTTTGGACAAGATTTATGAAGAACGATTATTTATTTGCAAAATTTCATAAGAAAAAACACTTTTTTTTTTCAAAATTTTGGGATTTTCTCATTTATATAGCAAAAAAAAAACATTCCAGTGGTGAATAAATACCACCAAAAATAAAGTTTTATCTGTCTCAAAAAAATGCTAAAAAATTCATATGGGTACAGTGTTGCATGACTGCGCAATTGTCATTCAAAGTGTGATAGCACTGAAAGCGGAAAATTTGCCTGGGCAGGAAGAGGGTGAAAGTGACCGGACTTGAAGTGGCTAACAGCAGCAGGGGTCACCTCAGACCTATTCACTTACTTTTAAATGACGGTTATAGACATTTAGGTATTTACTTATTTTTAGCAAGCAGTAAAAAACTTTAAAACAAGAATTCACTAATATATGTAGCTGTAGGCACTGTGGAGAAATTAATCATTCAAATTCACAGAAAAAACACTGTAGTCATCAAAGTAGCTCCTTCAGCAACCCAACTCACCCTGCTTCCCTCTCCTAGCAATGGCTTAACAGTTCTTCAGTTTCCTAATCTTGAATGTAAACACAGAACAGGAGCTCTGGAGGGGGGAACAATGTGAGATGACCTGCTGACTACAGTGCTTCCGCTGGAATGAATTTTCACTTTCGCTGGACAGCTGTAGCAGATAGTGGAAAAAAGGGAAAAAGGGCTCTACCTGCAGGATCAATAAGTATTAAAAGTTTGCTATGGGGGGGCTCGGAAAAACAATAACTGCTATGTAAGTGCTAATGGAAAACTGCATCATATGGATTTTTTTTATTTTGCCTATAGTTTTACTTTATGGGCTACTGCTCAGCCACTAAGCAAAAAAAAAAACAAAACAAAAAACAAAACAATGTATATGTAACCGTATATGGCAGATCAGCGGTGAGATATGAATGTCTGCAAATATTTGGCTGTTAGAATTAGAAGTGTATGAACTATGAATATCATTATCAATCAGATGCCATAAATGGAGCCTATTCTCATGTTGCTGTTTTCAGGTAGGCAGAAAAGAGCAAGGAAAGTGATAAAAGGAAAGTAGTGGACATTGGGGAAGTGCTGCTGCATTGCAGCCCAGATCTAAATAACACTTACTATAAAAATGGTAAAGAAACCAAATTGGGGGCCAGGTACTCAATGGGGATGAGTGAATATATCTAAGTTCGGGTGTTTTACTGAACCCTGTATGAAGTTTGAAAATTAGAAGCTTAAATCATTTCTCATTGACGTCTACAGGGGCAAATCTTAATAATTAGTTTTGAGCATTGTAAAGGCTAAGAGGCAAGGGATTATAATAAAAGGGCATGGGCATCTGGGAAAAGACTCTATGTTACACATGCCAGCGAGGCTGCCTAATGCATCTATTAGATTCTACACAGTTGCTCGTATATTTTTATTCTTAATCTCCAACTGCTTAAAGTTGATAGCTTTTCTACTTTTATTTCAGCTGTTGCCTACATGCACATTGCCCCTCTAGTGTAGATAATCTATGTAAATGTTATTTGTTAAAATGTCTTTTATTCCCAGTATTTGAGGTTTCATTTCAGTGTGTGATTGTAGGCTCTGTTGCATTACTACACTATTGCACACAAGTATTTCTCTCTTTCTACCTTATCTTGTATCTTAGATAACATCTCATATGTTCTGATCCCTACACTTTCCCATCTGGTTCCGATAAATGATTACAACTGGGATGTATGCATTGCCCCATCAGCCTTTATGTTGGAACCATTGTTATGCTTCCCTGTGTCATTTGAGTCTATTTATGTCTGATAACGATCAGACTTATTATACACAGTCAATGCCAACTGAAGATGATATTCTCAGTATAATCACAATTCAATCCTAACTGTCCCCAGGGGTGGACTGACAACTCATGGGGCCCCAGGGCAATCGGGGATCATGGGGCCCCTGTGTCCTTGCCCAAACTCCAAAAAGCCTATGAAAAAGGTACCAGGGGCATCTCATGGGGCCCCCTACTGACCCCGTCCCTCAGTCAGTGCCCGAGTTTCCAAATGGTCAGTCCGCCCCTGACTGTCCCCCATCCATTTTTGACACAAATAATACACTGGCCATGTCCTTATTCCAGATGTTAAAAAAAGAAACATCACCTTTTTGATGCAAACCCCTCTCTGCTCCTCCCTACATTTAAAGTAGGGTTTATATATTCTAACCCTTTTAAATCTTCACAAAAATTCATTGTCACCTTCTAATACATTTTTTACTCAATCTAAAACTGTTTGATACCACCCGATTAACTACTATCCATACCCAAGGGTGAAGAGCGATAGTGAGAACCTTTGCTTACTCTGATAATACTGATAATGCCAATATACATTATATTGCAAAAACTATTGGGACGCCTGCCTTTACACAGAAATGAACTTTAATGGCGTCCCAATCTTAGTCCGTAGAGTTCAATATTGAGTTGGTCCACCCTTTGCAGCTATAACAGCTTCAACTCTTCTGGGAAGGCTGTCCACAAGGTTTAGGAGTGTGTCTATGGGAATGTTTGACTATTCTTCCAGAAGCGCATTTGTGAGGTCAGGCACTGATGTTGGATGAGAAGGCCTGGTTCACAGTCTCTGCTCTAATTCATCAAAAAGGTGTTCTATCAGGTTGAGGTCAGGACTCTGTGCAGGCCAGTCAAGTTCCTCCACCCCAAACTCGCTCATCCATGTCTTTAGGGACCTTACTTTGTGCACTGGTGCGCAGTCATGTTGGAACAGGAAGGGGCCATCCCCAAACTGTGAAATTGTCCAAAATATCTTGGTATGCTGATGCCTTAAGAGCTTGGCCCTTCACTGGAACTAAGGGGCCAAGCCTAACCCCTGAAAAACAACCCCACACGATAATCCACCCTCCACCAAACTTTACACTTAGCACAATGCAGTCAGGCAAGTACCGTTCTCCTGGCAACTGCCAAACCCAAACACGTCCATTGCATTGCCAGACAGAGAAGTGTGATTCGTCACTCAAGAGAACACATCTCCACTGCTCTAGAGTCCAGTGGCGGCGTGCTTTACACCACTGCATCTGACTCTTTGCATTGCACTTGGTGATGTAAGGCTTGGATGCAGCTTCTCGGCCATGGAAACCCATTCCATGAGGCTCTCTAAGCACTATTGTGCTAATCTGAAGGTCAAACAAAGTTTAGAAGTCTTTAGCTATTGACTCTGCAGACAGTTGATGACTTCTGTGCACTGTGCACTTCAGCATGCTCTGACCCTGTTCTGTCATTTTATGTGGCCTACCAATTTGTGGCTGATTTGCTGTTGTTCTCAGCTGCTTCCACATTGTTATAATACCACTAACAGTTGACCATGGAATATTTAGTAGCAAGGAAATTTCATGGATGGACTTATTGCACAGGTGGCAACCTATTACGGTACCACGCTTGAATTCACTGAGCTGCTGAGAGCTACCCATTCTTTCATAAATGTTTGCAGAGCAGTCTGCATCCCTAGGTACTTGATTTTATACACCTGTGACCACGGAGGTGATTGTAACCTGAATCCAATTATTTGATGGGGTGTTCCAATACTTTGGGCAATAGAGTGTGTTATCTTATCCAATGTTAGAGGTCTGTAACATTTTATCTTTAGAAGTCCTTATTACAATATTCTATTAGAAATGCAACAGTTATTCTGCTTAAAGTGGCTGTAAATATATGAACAAAGCATATCCCTCTGTTGTGTGTCTCAGTTAAGAGAACTAAGTGTCATTTCTGTCTGCTGTCTTGTTCCTCTGCTCTCAGCATGAATCACCTCTGACAAGCTTCCCTGAAACCAAGAGAAAAATGGTGACAGGGGAGGTAGCTCCAGAAGATAGACAGCCTGAACTCTGTTCCTGTGAGCTGTGGTAAGGGGGGGGGGGGTTCTCTTACCTCCAATCAGCTCTTAGAGCTCTCTTCACTGACTGACCTCTGCAATCTGTAATTTCAGCTCCCTGCCCCCTTTTTTTTCTGAACTCTCAGACACCCTTTATAAATTCTGCACTTTGAATTGGAGGACTTGTTTCATCTCTGTGTATCACCTAAGGTCAGTGACTTCACTGGGTTCACTGCAAGGGTATACAGTCACTTTAATGGATTGTGGTTTTATTTTCCAATGACTCATAGTCATTACCTGACTATGTGTAGCTTGTTTTGGTTTTTACTTTAGTTTCAGTATGCCTTTATTTCTCTCACTGCAGCCCTTGTGGACAAGCGAGGAGGTTTGCGTGATTGTTGGATCAGAGTGAGTTCTCTCTCTTTATGATTTTCAGAGATTTGGATGTATGCAAAACTCTGAATGGACAAAATAACAAATGTCAACAAATCTGAAAAAAGTAATAACGAAATTAGTAGTTTGGGACTATAGGGAACTTAATTAAATTTTTTAATTCATCAAATAATTTACATTCAGGTACATTTGTGATTAAAGCGCAGTTCTAGGTATTTTTGTGTTTATTAAAAGTCAGCAGCTACAAAAACTGTAGCTGCCGACTTTTAATAAAGACACACTTACCTGTCCCAGGGTCCAGTTATGTGCTCACCCACATCATCCCTTCTCTCCCTCTTCTCTCCCCCGTGCTGGTATCTTAACTGTGGCACCAGGCTGTGACAACTTGCGGCTTCACAGTCGGGTGCCCGCTGCGCATGCACGAGTTGCATTGCGCATCCTGATTGGTCCGGCAGTTTTCTGGGACCTGTGAAGTGTTCCAGAAGACTGCAGGAGGAAGGAGGGGAACCAAACTTCCGTCTCACTTTGCCGTGGTGAACTCAGCCAGAAGTGGGAGCAGGTATCTGCCAAAACCAGGTATCTGCTCCCCCCGCTCCCCAAAAGTGCCAAATATAGCAGTGGAGGTGGGGAGGAGGAGAACAAGTGGAGCTTCCACTGTTAAGTGGAACTCCGCTTGCTTTAAATTGAATTTGTAATTGTCACAGTCAGTCAATTCAGTTCCACAGTCTAATGCAATCCTTAGGTTTAAAAGATTTGGGGCTGCCGAATTTTGCATTAAATTTATTCTGTTGTATCCAAAAATATTGAATTGCAATATACATCATTATCTTTGAATATGTAATAATAAACCAGGTCAGTTTTGTACCCAATAGACAGCCTAGTGAAAACATTTAGCAGGATCGTACATTTGGTCCAGTTCCAAACAGAGATCATTTCCTGTCATGTTTTGTTATTGGACATTAGAAAAGCTTTTGACACATTAATGTGTCCAAAGTGGAAGTTGCATCTAAAATCAATCTGTATGTGCAGTAAAGCATGCTTGTTATACTCACTGTGAAACCTAAAGGGGTTTATCCTCCACATGTATAAAAAGGCTGTTTGATCCTGTCTTCTCTGATCCTCCCCTTCTTCCACAGTCCCCAATCCATCTGCTGATAGCACAGAGCCCTAGTAGACACTCTGCACATGCTCAATTTGGTGTGTATTGCTAGAAAGTTTTTTTGTTTTTTTTTTGGGAGAATGCATGTGATTGGCAGAGGGCCAATCAGCACTGTCCAGACAAAGGATCTGCGGTTATGCAGCCTCATAGGACACTTAGAGGAGAATGAAAACTCCTGCTACATGCTTTAACCAGTGCTCGGCTGAACACTGATAGAAGTCACAAGACTGCTCTAACGACGGATGAGAAAAGGTATTTAGCAGTTTATATTTACTAAAATAATTGCATTTCCATGTTCTGTGTACTGTGGGAGACCAGATATAGTGAATGCATGGTCCTGGGTTTAGTAGCACTTCAATTCCTATTATCTGCATTCCTAACTTTTTTCTCATGATTCAAAAATTCACATCAATATGGGCATATATTATAGGTATATGAAAATCAAAAGCACTGAATATATCACTTCTTGCATCTGCACAAAACCAATTAAGAGATAACTTTGTATTTACCTTGGTCTCCTCTAGGCTCCCACATTTGATCGTTCACCTCACTGCAGGCTATAGCACAGTACATCAATCCAACCATCCCTACGTATGTAGACTCACTTCAACAAGGAAAATACTACCCTATTAAGCAGGATCACAGCAATAAAGATGCCCTTACTGCCCAAATTCCTCTAGTTTGCCAACCTGCTATCCATAACCTTCCTAGTCTACTGCATTTGTACCCTACAATCTAATATACTTAAATCAGTTCACCTTTACTGACTTTTGGTGTAAACCTCCCTATGCATTACCAAGTCATCAGTACATTAACATGCAGTGCTCCATTTTTCAAGAGAAATTTTACTTTTTCCGCTGCTCATTTCATTGCCCTCTTCCTCCATCCTGCCATTTGCAGGCCAAAGAGGGGAGAAAACGAGAACGAGCAGCTGAAAAGTAAGCATTCTTTTGCAAGATAGAGTGCTGTGTGTTAATGTAATGTAATGTAAAAGTCTGTTAAAATGAACAAATCCTTTAAATTTAAAATGGGGGAAAACTAGAACCAGAATTGGTAAGGAAATATTTTGCCATCTGAAAACACAGGGGAGACTGGGACTATCACTCATCCTCAGGATTACCAATTAGCAAAATTGCATTGCTTCAGGCTACCTTAGAGACCTCATTGTGGAAGTCCACAGAAGCATATTTTTGTTCCCTTAAATAATATACAATCTGCTATGGTAACAAAGGTAAAATTACTAACCCCAACATGTTTCGCTCTCTGGGCATTTGGGACAAAGTAAAAGAACTGGGCAAGCTGATCTTGTCCATTTTTTTAGGCAATCCTGAGTATTTCTGCTCTATTTGCCTATACATAGTGATTTTAGATAATCTTTCCTTTGTTCAGAGTTTTATATAAACGAGGTCATGTTGTCTGTTTTGACAATCTGAGAAACAAATATCACATTCCCCTGAGTAAGCTATACTGATACTTGCAAATCAGACACTTTATCTCCTTAACCGCTTCCTGACTGTCCTATAGCAGAAGTACTGCTACAGGCTGGCAGGGCTGCGCAAAATCACGTATATTTAAATATATATATATTGTACGTGATTTTGTATTTCCTTGTAGAGTGCGCGTGCCCTACCCATGCTGCCATTGGCAGTTTCAGCTGTTGATCATAGGGTCCTGGCCGAAGATTCCCTGCTGGCACCCGACGAACTCCGAGGAACAGTGACAGAGGAGAGGTCTGTATGTAAACAATACAGATCTCTCCCCTGGCAGCACCAGCACGCCACTTTGTATTGCTTCACATAGCACTGATCACTGTATTAGTATCACTGGGGATGTCAGTGGCAGTTAGTCAGTTCCCTCCCAGTGTCAGAATGCCCCCCTCAGTCTCGCAGTCTCACAGTCCCATAGTCCCGCTAAAAGTCGCTGATCGCCGCCATTACTAGTACAAAAAAAGTTTTAAAAAATGTCAGTATAGATATATACTTCCATTTGTAGATGCTATAAATTTCGCATCAACCAATTAATTGACATGTATTGGAATTTTTTTTTGGCAAAGGCATGTAGCAGAATACATTTCGGCCTAAATTTTTGCCAAAATTGAATTTTAAAAATTTTTTTTACTGGATATGTTTTATAGCAAAAAGTCAAAAATAATGTTTTTTTTTCCCAAAATAGTCGGTCTTTTTTGTTTATAGCGCACAAATGTAAAAAAAAAAAGTGATCAAATACCAACAAAAGAAAGCTCTATTTGTGGGAAAAAAGGACATAAATTTAATTTGGGTGCAGCAATGCATGACCGCGCAGTTGTCAGTTACGCAGCGCTGTACCGCAAAAAATGGCCTAGTCAGGAAGGGGGGTAAATCCTCTGGAGGGCAAGTGGTTAACCATACAACTGTAAACCTAATACCTTTGAACATAAATACTATAGATTTCATGTCACCCCTCTGGGAATCATATACTATGTGCCCTTCCAACTACTGCCAACTCTGTGGTCCTCTCTACCAACCAACACTATGAAATTGGCATAAGAATTACAACAAACAGCAGACCACGAGGAAGGGCAAGCTATCTAGCTGAATGGATCCAAATAATTATAAACTTCTGTTATGATGATCTTTAGACCCTTCTTGCATATCTAAGGAACACAACCCACCATCCTGAAACTTGTTTCAGAGAATGCCCCTTGCAAGGTTGCCTATTAAAGAGAATGGGCTGCCCTATGCGTGACGAGTGGAAACATTCCAAAATGCCTTCCCCCCAAAAAAACCCCATGTGGGAATGCAAGTTCCCACTATGTGGAGATGTGACCAGGGCTGACAGCTGAGTGTCTCCACCCACTCCCTCCTACGTACTTGTATAAAGCTGGCCATACACTATGCAATCTGATTGTACAATCTCTGTACAATTTCTTTTAGATTTACCAAAACTATGTAACAGGAGGAATTACCTGAACAATCCATTCAATCTGTATCAAATCAGGCAGGCCATTGCACTACTTAGCTGACAGTTGATCTAAGTGAGTTTTTACAATCTGATTGTACAGTATATGGTCACCTTAAAGGATGAAGTAGGGTAGTTTGTG